TACTATTACTCGGTTGATGTTGTTGATAGGACTTCAAATTATCAATTAATACACCAAAGAAACAATCATCTGCACAGCCAATTGGATAATATCCACAAGATTTCAACAAACCATGATTTGCTGTGTCTACTTCAAACGTTAGACGATATTTTTGGCGGCTATTAGGATTAGATATATTTAATGATTGTAAACATGCTGAATATATATTATCCAGTGTTCCTAGTTGTATTTCACCCGAAGTTTGACCATGTGAATATAATTGATCCTTATTCTCAAACCAATGTTTACTTAGTTGGCCACGATCAAACGCGCTGAACTCGCGTCCGACAACCTATTATCAATTCGAAAATAAAAATAAAAATTAGAAAAAAATATTTTTAATTCATCATAAAAATCATCGAGAATCTTGCCCATCTTGAATGAAGGTTTTGTAATCCAATCCTAGCTAAACGAAGTTGATAAAACTTAAAATTTTTTTGCTAGTGGTCAATTTTTGTACATTTTTTCCCTGCAGTCGTGCTTCGCGACGTCATCTGCAAGAATCCCAAAAGATCGGCTTTAAACGTCGTTCATTTTCGAGATATTGATTTTGTTCTGAATTTTGGAAACTGAACTTTGAAGATTTGCAAAAACATCGACATATTGGTTATCGATAGTACTAATCATCGAGATTAGCTTACTTTTCAATTTGCAGTCAATTAAACTGTGTTGCGAGTGTTTTTCTAAATATTCTTCACGCTAATGCTAAATATCCATGCACTATCGTTAACCAATCTATCGATATTTTTCGATTTTCAGAGTTCAGTTTCGAAAAACTTGTCTTCTACAAAAAAATTCTATATCTCGACAACGAAACGCGTTTAGAGGACAATGGAAAACAAGATCGCAATCCAAATAGTATCTAACATAAACTAATCAATGTCCAATTTATTGGTGAAAACATTTTGACACGAATACTTTAATGTCATCGAGAAAAGTAACTCACAATTTTTGACCAATTTTACAAACCATTTGAAAAAGGATCGATTCTTCTGGTAATTGAAGACAGAGTTTCCAAACTGTCGATTTATACAAAAAAAGAGACCTACAGTAATTTCAAGGTTTTCCTATGAGAAATGAACGTCCATTCTTTTTTTAACAAACATTTTCTCAAGATAGATATTCAGTAGAGTGAGTGCACTATCTAATGTCAAGCTCCACTTTTTTGAAATGATACTATCAAAAAATGTTGTTCTCTCTATGATACATTGTCACAGTTAGCGCGATCTCCTCTCATAGACTAATGAGTTTTACTAAGAACACTATTGTTTAAAGTTTTTCACAGTATTTTTACTTCCTAAATGTTAACCAAAAAGTCACAATAGATTCGGAATTAGCACAAACAAACCTACATCTAATGAAGTATCTACAACTAGCTTTTCATATAGTTTCACATACTACGTGTTTCAAAAATTTTTAAAGTGAATTTTTAAAGGCTTTATAGAAAACCGCTCAAAAACTGGTCGCTAGCACTTTTTGACATCATAAGACAGAACAGATAGGAAAATCTATAAAAATATGTTTCGTCTCTCTAACTAGTTAACTCAATACTAAATATCAACCTATCAATGAAAAACTATGCAGTGTGTCTCATTATAGACTATATTTTAACATTTCGATTTTCTACCCTCTCTCTGCCACGTACCTCTCCATTTAGAACGAATATTGTTGTACTGCTCCTATACCCAGTCCATGAACTTTTTTCGCTTGTGTATTGATATGAATTATTCCATAGTTTTTTAACATGTTGCCATTGATTATAACTCCGAATATATTTTTCATTGATATCTCTTGGAATATCTGTGAAGAATAAAAGAAAGAAAATTCTATTTTAGTCGAATGGGTTTATATATGAAATTTACATTACCTGTATCTACTATGTGAACTAATAGGAAAGAAATAACTGTGAATATTATCACCAATGTTTTCATATCTTTTAACGATCTTGATTACACCAACCGAGTGTACAAATATTTTTTCTTGTAATATAAATACTTGAAAGAAGAGCCAATCTAAGTAGAGAAGATGTTTTCTTCCTTCGTGTTAGTATACAGAAAGAATTATCTGTATAGCACATATTAAAAGAAGAAAACAAGAACTGATTGATGGTATGTTGATAAGTTGTATTAACTTATAATTGTGTTGATATTCTACGATTACGAGAGAAAAAACAGAAGAAGAAGAAGTAAATATCAGAGAAAAACTTCCTTGTCTACCATCAACATAGAGTACAATTAATATTTTGCTTTATTTTGTGCGTTCAGAACTTCGAATAAGATGTAATATAACGACTCAACCAAGAGAAAGCTGTTTTCAATTCCACACAATGTTTTCATCTTCTAGCAAATGATAAATTCAATGAAGAACTTTGAAGAAAAGTAACTCTGAACAAACTCATACAATTAGGAATTTCTAATGCTGATACTATTGGGTAGATGCAGAGACGAAGCTATCCTCACTCAAATACGCATGACTATGAAAAACCTTGCGCACACATACTCGATTTCGCTAGGCATGAAAACCCAGTATTAGCTTGAAGAAGATATGTAAATGTTCATATATTAACTAGATTAGAAGCTGAATATCCTAAGGTATATTCTTGAAAAAGAACATTCATTTTGGTTGAAGCTTTCAAGACTAAATTCCTTAATTTGATTTTTTTTCAATAAATATCTAGGAGTAGATAGGTCGAAAATTTAGTCAAATAGTCAAAACTTCTGAAGGAAGAGTCATGGGCAGGAATCCTTTTGGACTGTTTACTAACTCAATATACTCGATCAAGTGAGATATAAATGGGTGAAATGGAATGATACATCTCGGATGGTCTCGTCGTACGAATAATTACCATTGATAAATCGTTGGAATTTTTTAGTTCCTATCCTTGCTGAATGCCTTGAAATGGTCATGTTATTAAAACGATTGTCTCTTGTATACTTTTAAGATAATTGTAAGGTGATTATCATAGCTGAGATTGAAACAACTACTAAGGGTTTTTGAACGAAGGAATAAGCAGAATGATCAACTAAGAAATTCATTCCTTTTATTTTCTGGATAACAACAAATTTAATAATTAAAATATCCAATTGGATAATTTAATTTAATAATTA